TTTACTTTCATGTAAAGCAGCAAGACTAGGTAGGGAGTTTGGTGACAACTAGAAAAGCTTAAGGCAGAAATTACTAAGAGCATCAACCATTCCACAATCAATATATTTCTTTATAATTCTTATAAAAAATAAAATAGCACCATATTCTAAAAGGTTTTATAGGAAATAAAAGCCACTTTATTTGCATCATGCTGGTCTCAAATTACCCACATTTTCTGCTGTGGGAAAACAGGGCTGTTTGGCTCTAGATTGCTTTATTGCTGCTCTGTTATCAGGACTGTATTCACACAGGAGCTCACACCAGAAGACAGTGATGTAGGTGTATTTGGGCTGTGCTTCAGGTCCTGTGCCAGTTTAACATGGACTGAAATCTACCTCCTGCTGCTTCACAAACTCAACTCTTTACCTCCAAAGATGGAGTGTGGCAACAGCAGCTTCTTCTCCATTATTTTTTCTGGACATTTGAGATTTCTGAGTACATTTTAAAAAATGTCCACCAGAATATCCATCACCCACTTGCACCTTAAAGTATTGGACTGTATTACCCATTTCACACTTCTCCCACCTGAACAGTCCTCTCTGGGCCAAATTACAAGTAGATGCCAGCACTTAATTTCAATCTTACCTTAACATCTCAGCTGTTGGCAAAGAAATATGAATTCTTACTCTAAGGTGTTGGAGGGCCTTTTCAAACTAAATATAGGTGTTTTGAATAGACATTACTAAATTCTGATTATATTGTGCCTACTTACCTTCTCTCAAGGACCACATACAAAATATAACAACAGAGGTTTCATAGAGGATTTCAATTGAGGAGAACATTGTTTAGCCTTCAAGATCATTTAAGTTACAGGAAATCACCAATAAGAATGCCAAGGACGTCTCTACAGACTCTGGTGTGACAACAATGGAGGTACTCATTTCTAATAACTTATTTCCTGAGACATATATTTTTAATAGCCAATAATTTCTAGTATAACCAGAACTTTTCTCTTACAGTCCTGTCTCAAACACACTTTGAAGCCCATAAGAGGAATCTGTGATTCTTGTCCAGCTCTTCACTGAGAAGGCAAGAATTTGTCCGTGAAACATCTCCAGAGCTGGAGTGACTGATATCACTGAGCATAGCCATTATATAAATATAGCAGAGTTACTCCCTTCACAAATGATTTGTAAATATGATAATGAGCCCTACTGAGATAGAAGGGAAGCTGTAGTGTTTCTGAAAAGACATAGACTGTTCTGATAAAACAAGAAGAAAAGTTTCCAGGTTGGGAAAGCTGATTTCCTGAATAAAGAGCATTGCACTGATCCTTACCTGGTTCTTAATGTGACACTAGGCTGGACAGCAGTGCAGTCCCCAAGTTCCCTGGGAGGCTACCGCAGGGGCCTAAACCAAAGAACCCTTCTGGACAACACCAGTGAGTTTCTTTTCCCTGGAAATCAGGGGAGTTAAGTAGAACAGGCTGCTCTGGGCCCAGATTTCACCAAGACAAAAGGCTGATGTCTGGCTGGAGCACTCAAGTTCAGCAGTTTGGAAGAGCTCCAAGTTCTCTAAAGTATTCAAGGGAGGACGGTCTTCCTGACAACTGGAATGCAGGCACAGACAGAATGAAATACAAATTTGTGTTTTGCTTATCAAGTTGAGCAGCTTTAAACCTTGGTTGTAAAAACTACAAATGCTGGTTGCTCACTCTTAGTCTTCTGCCTCTGGGCAGCTGTAACTAGCAGGTGAGTCACACACAGACCTCTCCCAAATGGCTGATGAAGTTGAAATAGAGAACCACATTTAGCATACAGGGCTGCATTCTCACCATGAACCCTATTCATTCCCTAAGGAAAGACAGAAAGATGAAAAACCACTCTTTAGGGTTGGTCAAAGGCTGAAGGAAGAGGCAGAAGTGCAGATGATATATAAATGCTCCACAGTGGTGGCTGTTGAACATTGCTGAACGTAAGAGCTGTCTGAATCCTTTTCCAGGCTGGGACTTCAAGATGTTGTAAGGCCTTTCCTCTGGTCTTAAGATGAGACTGACTGTGCCAGTCTCTCTCCTGGGAAACAGCAGCCTAAACTGTTCTCATGAAAAATTATGGAGGCTTTGCATTCTCCCCAGGCAATCTGTCCCCCACATTTCACTGTTACATAACTTAATTCTCCTTTCTTGCAATTTCCTGCAATTAGTTCTTGAGGCTGGAGAACAGCTTGTCCCTTTCATTTTGCAGCTATTTCTATGTGTTTGAAAAAGGTTATCGTGTCTCCCCTCAGTCTCCTCTATTCCAAACTATGCAATCACAGCCTCCCAGCTCATCACACAGAAGCCAAGCTGCTGCTGGCTGGTGATAGCTTTCAGTAACTGCTGACTGGACTGGATTTGTACCAGCAGCCTGTAGGTGAAAGCCTTCAGCATCCTTAGCTCTCTAAGCCAGGCTATCCTTTCAAAGACGTGAAACTTTTTCCGTAATCCATTGCATCAGTAAATATATATTACAGTACAGTATATTTCTGTAATTTTGTCCATCACATTAGGATATCTTAACAAGAGAAAAGGAAAAGACACCTTTTTTTACAAAAGTGCATTTTAGGGCCAAACTTAAAACAGGATTCCCAACAGGTCTTAAAGAGTGGAGAGGGAAAACGCAATATATTATGTTAACACCTCCCTCATTTCACCTCCTCTGCTGAGCAAATTAAATGAAATGCATGAACCATGTCTTGGTCTGCAAATGAAACTTGGTATTTGTATTTGCTGCCATGTCTCAGAGTGTTGTTTTTCATTTTAGGCTTTGCATGGTAGTAAACACTGCAATGCTTTACATTCATTAAGCTCGGGCCCATTTACTCTGTGCAGGCAAAGCAAGTGCATATATCTCAGACCCATAAAGCATCAGTTCAGAATTACACAGGAAATAAATGAGACTAAGCCAGAAGCCCAATTTCCAGAGTCCAGCTCACTAAAGCTAAACAAGTACCATATATAAATATGGCCTATTCCAAATAAAACGTTAGTGTAATTTGATAACTGTCAATAATTCCCTCATTATGCCTAAATGAGCTTGTCATCCAAGGAGATTGCTGCATGGCTGATCTTAATTTGCTAATAAAAACCACAGAGAAGAATTTCAGCTAAGCTGAAACTATGTGATTCATAGAAGTGCAACAGTGCACTTTTAAAAGCATTCCTTCCCAGTCCTGGCTCCTGACTGGCTGAAGCCCAAAGCCAGTTTGCTCTGCAGCCTGTAAGACGGCAGCTTTGCTATGTAAGAACAGTGAGTGATTGCCTCCCTAAATCACTATTATTCCTTAGCCCATTATTGTTAATTTATTTTTAATCATGTTGTATAATAGAAATAAAATCATTGGATTAAGCATATATCTAGCAGCAGGAGCCCATTATCCTTTGACAATGTTCTGTGTCATTGACATTATATCTTCACTGTAGACAGTTTCCTTGCCATCATTAGTCCTAGAATGACTATTGGATTTCAAGGGTTTCTCCCTAATCCATAATGAGATTTACTTGCTAACAGCACAAAACAAAACAAAGATATGCTTCTATTGTTTTATTGCCATGGGATTCTTGTTTTAAGCTATTCAGAAAAGTCAAGTATAAATCCAGATATTATAAGTATTTAAAGTTTTCCTGTATAATTCTGATTCAAGGGAAAGCCTTGATAACTTTGTAAGCTTTGAATATTTGTTGCTTATTGTGGCTTTATTTTACTTAAGCAAGCAACAATACCTTGCCAGTTCTTGAACCAACTAAGAGCTACTATTTCTCACACGATTTTTTCAGATTGGTTAAAGCAAATCTCAGTAAAGTCCATTTTCTCCAGAAAGGGCTACAAGGTTTTCATCAGATTCCATGGAAAGAAAGAGGGAGAAACTTTCCTGCTAAGGTTGCCAGCAATTCCTCTGTGGTAAGTGCTAGCTAACAGTCAGCACTAGTGTTGGGAGGTTCAAAACTCCTCCAGCATGCTGATGCCGATCCCCCTGGGATAACTCAACAGCTCTTCATTTGTACCAATGGCAGTCACAGTTGAATCTAAAGCTAGATTTTTCCACATCCTATTAACAGCAGCATTAGAATGCAGCAGGGACTATCCACAGAAAAAAAAGCCTTTTCTGTTATCTCACAGTTATCTTTGAGGAGGTGGCAGATATCCCTGTGAAAATTATCTTTATAAATTGCCTCATATTTAAGGATATGCTGGTACTATCAAGTGGTGCCTTTTTTATGCTGAAATTGCTAGCAATACTTAAGAGTCTCTGCACGACTCTTTCAGCTGGGAGAGCAGCTTCAATAGATACCTGTTTTCCATATATGTAGACAAGCTGTGACACTTTCACCCTTATTGACATGATCTGCATAAGCCATGTGGTTTCCATTAAGAAGGGTCCACACAATATAGTCAACTCTCCATTATCTTGGCTAATAGGAGACTAGAAAAACCCAGATAAAGGAAAGACATGCATAATTATTACTTCCAGATAAGAGCCGGCTCAAATATTTCTGCACTGTGCTCCCCAGACAGAGCTTGTACTTCTGTCGGAGCTTGCCAGCTTAGAGTTTATTAAGTCAGGCATTACCTGCATCCATCTGATACAAGCAAGGCAGCTTGGGTGTCTCTATGATTTAATCACTCCACAAATATTCTAGTAACTGAAAATCATCTCAACTATAATTAAATAACAACTTCCATATTCACCCTTTTATATGTTCTGATACTGGCACGGTGTAGACCCAGTCAAGCATGGCAAAGCCAAGGCTGAACGTGGAATAATGAGGAAAGGCAAATTATGCCTGAAATACAAGAGGAGTAAGTTCAAGACACAAGGGAATGTAGAATACATACAAGGATGTAGGAGGACTTTGGATTCACATGTAACAATGAAATTAAAACAAGTGCTTCCTCTTTTATTTCCAGATTGCATCCTCAGAGGAAGCACTCTCAGGACTGCCACAGGTAACACGTGTGAACTACAACTACCTTTCTACATGAACTGTCAGAGGTTTCCTTTTATTACTGTGGTGCAATTGTTCAGCCATACTGGACATTTGTCAGTTGTGGGTTCCTGTAATGTGTAATCTTCACAGACCTTTTAGTACCAATACATATCCTTCCTGATCTCTGATACCTACTGGTATATAAATTGTATTGTTCAGTCACAAGAGACACTAAGTTCCATAACATATATGGCAAAGCAATATCTTTACCACTAGAGGAAGAAATAATGTTTTCTTACAAAGAAAATTAAAATGTTGCAAACCATTTTTTTTTTCTGGATTCTTATGGAAGGGAAGAGACAATGAAGAAATAAACTCAGACGTAATGAAATCAGCAGCACCATTTCTTATACATTGAAGTGAATCATTTTATGGAAACCAAACTGTTGCCAGGAAAGTTTTTAATGGTATACTTGTACATGACATTGTGCTGAAGAATTGATGACTATATTCTGCCACATTCCATGTTTCATTTACAAATTAGCATTGCCTTGGTTTTTCTGCACATTACAGTCAGACAGAGCTACACAATGATGCAAGCCGCAGGCCAAGCTGTAAAGGGAAAACTGATGGTTCTGATAAATTCGCCATCTCATGTGATGTAACTGGCTACATACAGAGCAACTGACAGCAAATCACAGTGCCAAACATATCAAATCCCTAAATATCTGTTCATTTTACTTAAAGCATCACATACAGTGTTTAGATCACTGCGGAGGTCCTGGACAACATTTTCTATACTCCTGGTATCCTTCAGAATCTCAATGCTTTGCGTGTATGGATTGAAATACACAGAGAAGGGACGATTGATTGATTTAGCGAAGTCTCTGGAAGGAAAAAAAAGAAAATTAACTTACTTTTTTTTTCCCTCAATCACTAAAGAAGAGAAAATTAGATTTTTGAGTCAGGGAAAATAATTTACCTCATCTTTTCTTTGGCCTCTTCAAAACTCTCTGAAACAAAGTAAACTTCCTGGAAAGTAGTGATAAGGCATTCCTGCAAGCAGGTTGTCTTTGGATCGAATGTTTTCACATTGGCCTTGTCAGAGAGAGCATGCTGCAAAATACACCACAGGATCTGTTAAACTGGATTTTGATATTGCAGTGTATCTACATCAGCTGTTCATATATACAGCTTTTATATCACTGTCCTGTATGTTTCTCACTAATTGGTAGCCCGTCTTGTTTTACAACCGTGTTTTTTCCAGTTTAACAGCGAAGAGAATTTGCTGTTTAAAAAGCTCTTATTATGGGAGATGGTTTTTCCCCATAATAATTAAATAATAAAGAGGATATTAGAAATGCACTTACCATGAACACATACAGATGTATATGTTCAGATGGAAAAAGCAAAATCATCAAATAACCATTTTTGAAAAGCTATCTATACAATTACAAATATGTATGTCCTCAAAATCTCATTTAACTAACAGAATTCATTTTTGTCTTGGTGGGTAAATTGGGTCTGACTAAACCATTCATGTAATCTGTACTTTACATTTTCAGGTCAAAATCATATGCTATTTTGCTGACAGTGAAAGTGAAACTACATGTCTGAAAACACATTAAATAATAGCAATGTACTGCAAGACAATGAACTGCATTATTCTTCTGCCACACAACCTGAGCAACAATGCTTCACATAGTACTGCAAAGAGAAAATAACTAAACAGATATAGATAAGTACAGAAGAGACATTGGGCAGACACAGCAAATGCTGCTACGCAGCGCAGAGATTTCTGATTAGCCTTTCTCTTTATATGACTTGCACAAGTCTCTAGCAGAACTGGAAATCAGGTACTTAAACATTTTCCAGGACAACATTTTCTAGCTTCCCTTTCAACTTGAATACTTGTGTTGGCTTTTGGATCTACCTTATCTTCTAGAGCACACATATTTTCATTGTCAGTGCTCAGTTACAGGAGTATAAGGTGAGGAAGCAGAGCATATTTAGGTCACCTTTCAACCTTCTTTAGTCCCCTGATATCTATATAGAGTGAAGATGTGAATGAAAAGCATAAAGAAATGACAGGGAGGAAGCCGATCCCTGAGGTCTGAAGGTGCCTCTGATTTCTTTACTTTCTATGTGCATGGACATTCTTTATAGTGGAGTAAAGTATTAACCTTAAGGTGTTCACCACAGCTTTTATCCTTGCTCTTGCTTATGCTCATTCCTAAATCCCTGTGAAAGGCTCTGAAAATATCATACTAGATCTCAACCTGAAGTCTCCAAATAACAGGACAGAAAACTGGAACAAGAGCCTCTTCCTCCCACCTCCTCTCTCTCCAAAAATAAATACATGAAAAATTAATGCATGGAATCTTAAAATGTCAGGGAATTAACTTGCTTTAGTACATGTATCTTTTCCTTCTCACAAGGTTTCCTGTTTCTAGATAGCTTTCAGCCATCAGTTTAACAGGTTTGAAAACATATATTAAAAATGGTCTCTCAACCATCATCCTCTTCTAGACAGACTGCAGGAATAGGCTCACCTTATTAGGCCCCTGCCTATATCCCTGTTGTCACTTTCTCTTTGCAGAACCATGTTGTGGTTAAATGCTTATAAATTAAGGCATTTACCTCCTTTTGTCAAAATGAATTTACCTATTTTCACTTGGAATTATAATATATTCCCTGGGAGGATAAAAATCTCCTCTTAAGATGCCTTTGTACTTCAAAACTTGGAGTGGGCTGAGTGAGGTTGATTCCATGCAAGGAATCAAGATTATGATACAGGCCATGATTTCATAGGAACTGACTAGTTCTGGCTGATGGATTCTTTCCTGTACTGTGAAAGGTTCAATGGAAAGGGTGATACTGTCAACTTCTCTGTTTAGTAATGGCCTCTGTTGGGCCAGGCCTAGTCCTTGGGACTGAAGTTACCAGCGGTGAGAAGGGATCCAGCCTGTGGCTCCTGCATTGTGAACAACTGCTCTGCTCACTGAGCCCTAATTTCATAAAAGGAGAGAGTTTAAAAGCCTCTATCACAGGGGATGTCCTCTGAGAAAGCCTTTCTAGTTGTTCCTCTCAGGTTATCCATATGAAATGACTCATTCTTTCTGAAATTATCCTAGTTTAGTTATACATGAACAGAGCTGCTGCTTCACAAAGGAACTCTGCAGAGTGTGGAACATGAAGATAGCAGCACACATGCACCCTGGAAACCAAGGATAAAGTATTCAGACATGCCTTCAAAATTAGGCAACAACAGATCGGTTATTCTTAGGATTTCAGTTTGGGAACAAAAAGTGTAAATTCTTGTGAATTCCCACCCAAGATACCTGTCTCCGCTACAGGAGAAGTTCTTCTGGCTCTTAGATATAGGAATTGTCATGGCTACCAAAGCAAAGTTTCCATCTTTTCAAGCCTGGATGGTGTTTTCAAGTTCCACAGCCTGGCATCTGTAACGTGCCACTGAGTTGACATGCTGACACCAGCAATGCCAGAGTTCAGCAACTGAGCCTGCAGACAAACCTTCAGAAAGACCATAAACTATCTAGTGTGAACTAGAATGGTCAGGACACTGACTCAAAGCTGACCAGAGCATTTATCAGAAATTTTACAGTGCTGTAAACTGCAGGTCCTTGGCACTGTCAACATTATGAAGTACATAATCTCAACAACAACAAAAAAAGAAATATCTGGTGAGTCCAAAAGCTTTCAGATTCTGGCCGGTATTTTTTTAATACACGTTATTCACTTATGGTTTGGTTGGACATTCAGCTCTTTAGTGAAGTCAAATGAATAAGTACCTAATGCATATTTCTCCATGAGAAATTTCTACGTCATCCACCTCCAATGAGATGTTAGAGCTAGCATTCATATGGAAAATAGCTTTTGGTAAAACAGGGCATCTCACTGTCTTGTGGATCTGTGATAACTGTCTCTAATGGCCCATTCATACAGACTGTACTGGTAATGCTAATAAAACTATTGGTGAATCCTTATTCAAGAAATAAGAATTTGGAGTGAAACTTCAAAATCGATCATCACTGAGTCTCAGGAAAAGCAGCAGTATCAGACAGCTTAAGGATTAGACAATCATTTGTACTGAAAATAAGCATAACAATAAAGAAATGCCTCCACTCCCTGCCAGATGAAAGGTTAAAAGAGTTATTGAGACACCTAACCACTGGTCTCTAAGGCCTAGGCTGTCTGATGCATTGTACAGAGAATGGAAGATACAGCACAGGATTTTAAGAAGACTTTTACACGTTTCTGAAGAGGCAGCTGGTCAGAAATACTAGGGCATGTCAGATGGCACCAGGCATTTACAACTGTGAATCATTTCCTAAGTGACCACTATCACTGACAGATGAAAAAAGAGTTTGGTCTTGTAATTCCTCCTATGAGTATAAAAATGGATTGCAATAATACAACTCAGAGCTTTTCAATTTTGAGAAAGAAAATAAATGAAACAAAACCCAAAAAGTAAAATCTGCAGCTAGCAAGGGGAAAACTTGAGATGAGTTAAAAATACTGCACTGTCTGAGAAGTACAGGAGATCAGAATAGGAACACAGGTGAGAAGTTGTGTGTGTGCCAGTACTGATTTTATCACCTTGTTTTCCCAGGGGAAGTACACAGTCTTGAAAAACATGCTCTTAAATGTTTTCCTTCTTGTCTACAAAATAAGTCGCGAATCTGAAAATGTTCTGATATTACCAGAAAATTTTGTTCAACAGTGTAATTTTATATATTGTCTAGAAAATACAGAAAATCTCTCTATTCAAAGATTCTTAAAATGAGCATCTGAGATCAAGGAGTTGTTTTCTTCATCCTCTTCAGGAAACAGAGCCAAAATATGCATTTGAATCTTCTTGGTTATAAAATCTAATGCTGGCACTTCTTGAATGATTATTAAAACAAAATAATACAATTGGATACTGTATTTTACTTTTAAAATTTACAGAGAGAGATTTTAAGCCTACCTCTCTGTTCAATATAGAAGCATACAACAGGGATGTATGACTTGATCTACGGCCAGCTGAAGTTATAGGAGACTCCTTTAATGAAAGAGTTCAAGAGAGCATCACACAAATTAAATGGATTAAAGCTTCCAAAGACATTTGAACTGCTTTTTAGAAACAGTTTTAATAATTGAAATGTACATTATTTCCGCCTTATCTCTAAGCCCCAAATATATACTGTGTAATAGTGTTAGCTAGAGTTAACCTGACTATATTAGGCAGAACATTTTATAACTACTTACTGTATTATTCGATTCCTCCCAGGCTTCATTTTTAATCTTCTCTTTCTCCTTATTTTGTTGTGCTTTTAATTTTTTTTTTTACTTTATGCTTTCAGAGCATGCACATAAGGAGATGTATTTTTCATTGTCTGAAATTTTAGGTCTAAATACTGAGTGGGGAAAAAGATTTCAAGGGAATCCTATATTGATAGGCTGATGCACACATTTCTCTAGCTCTAACAGTTATTTGTTACTAGAGCTGTTGACTAGATTTGTGAAGTGTAGCAGTGTAATACAGAAACAGGGATGACTGAACAAGCCATTCATTCCTCCAAACAGCCCAAATATTGCTCACCATTTCTACCCTGCAAATAGACTCATGAATTTCTAGAAATTTATACAAATTATACATAAAGTTTGCCACCATTTTATTTCCTGTGCATACTGCTGCATTGAAAAGAGAGCTGATAGGGACAGAAGTTGGAGAAAGGCTTTTCTTCTTGCTCACAAAAGCATATTAATAAAAAATGCCTGTGCAGTCTCAAGGGCACCCTCAGTAAATTTGAATAGAATACCTATTTGGGCAGGAGCATTGTTCTGATGGAGAACAGGAAGGCTCTGCAGAGGGATCTGGACAGGATGGATCGATGGACTGGGGCCAGTTATTGAAGTTTAACAAGGCCAAGTGCCAGATTCTGCTCTTGGGTGCCATCAATCCCAAGCAGTGCTACAGGCTGGGGGGAAGAGTGGCTGGAAAGTGGCACATCAGAAAAGGACCTCAGGGTGCTGGTCAACAGCAGCTGACCAGGAGCCAGCAGTGTGCCCTGGTGGCAAAGCAGGCCAATGGCATCCTGGTCTGTATCAGCAATAGTGTGGCCAGCAGCAACAGAGCAGGGATTGTCCCTCAGCACTGGTGAAGCCATACCTCAAGTTCTTGTCCAGTTTTGGGCCTCTCACTAAAAGAAAGACATTGAGGTTCTGGAGGGTGTCCAGAGAAGGGCAGTAGAGCTAGGGAAAGGTCTACAGCAAAATGATGAGGAGCAGCTGATGAAACTGAGTTTGTTTAGCCTGGAGAAAAGGGAACTCAAGGAAGACCTTTTCACTCTCTACAGTTACCTACAATATTATAGACAGGTGGGGGTTGGTTTCTTCTTCCAAGTGACAAGCGACAGGAGAAGTTGAAATGGCTTCAAGTTGTGTCAGAGGAGGTTTAGATTGGATATTAGGAAAACTTTCTTCACTCAAACAGTTGCCAAACATTGGAGTAGGCTGCCCAGGAAAGTGGTTGAATTACCATCCCTGGAGGTATTTAACTGATGTGTGATTTTGGAACTTGAGGACATGACCTAGTGGCATATCTGGCAGGGCCGGGTTAACAATTGAACTTTATCATCTTAGAGAACTTTTCCAACCGAAACTATTCTATGACTCCAAAGTCAAGGTAGCAAAACTCAGCATTTCAAGATCTGCCTTCCTAGCGGCAGGGACACAAAAGAATTTGAAATTCTGTGGGCCACAGCCATCCCCATCTAAAGTATGGCAGAAGTATTTCTGAAAGGACATCTTCACTCTGATGCCTATGAGAAGTACAAGTGTTGCACACATGAGGGGGACGTGTCATGGCCATGCAATCTGAGTCTCCTATTTATTCATTCCCACTCACCACTGAAATAGGCAGCATTGCTCTCTCTCATCATTTGCAGAGCAATTGCTGCTATCAATAAGGATTTCAGTTACAATCAGGATCTCAACAACAGTCCATTAGCATGATCTTCCTCAGGTCAAGGAAGAAATTTGCTGTTCCAGTAGGTGCTAGGAGGGAGATTGCTTTCCCAAGAAACAGTAGAGAGTGACACTGGCTTCATGCAAGGCTGTGCACCAAAGTCATGAGTGCCCACATATTCTCCTTCCTAAGCACCTCCCTGATAATATCCTGCTGACAAGAAGCACATTCATGCCAGGACAGTGGTCTAGAAACAGCTTCTCCCATGGTCATTTTATTGGAAAATTTAGTAGTTTTTTGCAATTTTTTTCCTTAACTTTTACCTTTTTTTCTACCCTGGAGCACACTTCCACAGACTTGAATATTTTTCACCTTATCAGTCCCTTCATGGAGACTATGTCTGCTTGTGGTATGGTGCTGCTCTGTTCCCACAGCACACAAGTGCTTAGTTTCTCAGTAACTGAAATTTCTAACTTAAGTTCAGTATATGCAAGATCTGGTGAAATTTAGTATCTTATGATATGACAAGAGGTCAAATCAGATGATCTAGCAGTCCCTTCTGGCATCATATCTACAAAATATATATGTAGTATAAAAGAAAAGTATATAATATTATTGACTTATGGAAAAATTATTATGATATATATCTGGCCATAACACTGTTGCAGATCAATATAGTCCATTAATGTGCAGATTATTTAGCTTTTAGTGCTGCTTTGCAAAAGAATTATTCTTTGCATTTATACTTTGAGCTTACTGCTGAGCAAAGAACACAGATCTGGGGTCACAAATGTGTGGTACCAAATATGCAGACTTGACAAGAATAATGTATTTGTTTACAATACTGATGGTAGAAGATTTATTATGTTCTTGACTATTCATTTCCTCTTTTTTATGCCCTTAGATTTTGTAAATGATATGGTAGGTATTTTCAGGGTCATCACCTAGAGACCTTAACTGTTAGTTTGAATAAAAAGCCTGATTCTTTACAGAATCCTTCAGAGTTTGGGGCTTAGCACTGAATGTTGCTGAGCCAAAGGAAAACAAGTGGAACATCTTCATCTCTTTTCACTCAACCATCTTTGCAATGTGAATATAAAATATTGCCAGACAGATACAGAATTCTTCTGTGGCTGAAGTATGCATAGAATTGAGAGCAACTCTAATGCAATCAAAGAAAAAACGCTGTAGAAGGTAATTTTCTTCAACATTTTTTTGTTGAAAGTATAGCAGTTTTACTAATGAGCTTCACCACAAAAATTCACAGTTACAGGTAAAATAAACAGCAAAAAGGGACAGAGATACTCCTATTAAAATGCCAGGTAGCTCACTGAAAGCCAGCCCAGGAGGGTGGGAAGGTGTTCAAAAACAAATAAACAACAGATATCTTCCAAAATAGTTTTCAATACTCTTCCGTATCTTACTAAATCCAAATGTTTACCTGCAAAGCCACCAAGAGCTCATCTGGGTCTCTGAAGATAGTACTCATCCTTCTCTTTACCCTTCCCTCCCATCTTGCTAACAGACAGATGTATTATGTCCCAAAATACTACAGCTGTGACAAAATACCTTTTGCCTTTCCCCATGTTTTCTAGGCATTAAAAGAGGCAATAAATTATCCACTTCAACTACTCACACCATGCAAGGTTATACTTTCACCCTTAAAAAACAGGGCTCTATGTATTATCACACAGGCAAGTTCCATGTGAGTTTATATGCCTTCCTTAATTTTAAATGTGATTAATCTACTGAAACAAGACCTTAATGAATGTTGTTCTTTTCATATCAATTATGAATCAATTATATCAAGTACACTGGATTACTAAGAACAGAATCATGTCTGATTTCCAACATTTTTTTGTGGGTCTTAAAAATATGTGCTCCTCATCCAAACAAAGCTTTTAAAGCCCAAGGCACTCTTACCAGTTAGAACCCTTGAGCCTCCTTTGACAAGAAATGAAAATTCAAACAGAAATCAGTTTTTTAGTTTATAGTTGCTTTGGTACTTTGGGCCTTACAAGTCCATTTCATGCTTCAAGTGCCAGCTGATATTTCAAGCAAAGCTTTTAGGTCAATACCATATTTTAAATACAAGCTTTTTATCTTGAGAATTTTAACATTTATTTTAAAGTCAATATATTTATATTCAACTATTATTTCATTAAGATTAAAAATTTACTATGCTTTAAGGGTACATACCTTTAACTCTCCAATAGAAGACAGAAGTCCTGCCCCATAAGCACGCAGTTGTCCTTCTTGCTTGCACAGGCCAAATTCAATTGTAAAGAAATAGCACTGCAAAATACACAGATATTCAGATACAAATAGTATAGTTGCAAACAGGACCTGCAGCAATAACAATCAGTGCCATATTCACTCACCTGTCCCACTTCTTTAGAATTACCTACTTTGAATATAATCTCATATAAAGTATATTATTGCTGTTAAGTAATTTAAATGTCATGTTCAGCAGAAAGGAAGCTTTGCGCAAAAATTTGGGATTTTGTTCTTTGTCTGGGTACCCAAGCAGTTCTCAGGAATGGCCAGTTAGGAACAGACAAGCAAGATCATTTTTAGGTATCAAAGGTGCTGATAGTAACTTACAGAGATTTTTGAAACCTTCAGAAATAAATGAGATGCCTTAAAATAAAATCCTGCAAGGTAGTTAGTCTAACTGTCTAGGAAAATCTGAAGATCTCTAAAATGTATTTCAGAGCACTCAGTTTTAAACTCAAGATGATATCACTTGAAACTCTACAACACACTTAAGAGCTGTCTTGAGTTAGAATGAATTTACTTATATGTATGTGCTTAAGAGCCTTCTTGAATCGAGGGCTTAGTCTTCACTAGATTTTACTCTGTCATAAATAAAGAACAAATATGGCATTTGGCTTCTTAAATTACAGAAAGAAAATTAAATTCAGTCAAATGAATTCACTTGACCAATTAATTCACTTGAAGAGTAACAACCATTTTTTAGGTCTACATTCAATCAGGTAGCATATCTGACCTGTAAAACTGGTGACAAGCTGTGAAAAGAGATGTGTTAAATCAGCATAACAGTATTGTATCTTAACTTTGCTGTACACACCTAATGAAGTTAAATCTTAGGAAGATCATAAGAAGCACTGACAGCCCACTGTCCACTAAATGCAAAAGATCACAGTCACTTCTCTTCTTGTGGTACTGAGCTTTACTTTGGTTTTGTGATAACACATCACATGCTTTTACATATTAGATCAAACAGTTGAGCTTAAATAGTAACTATTTCTATATGTGAAGATTTTAGGAAGTTGAGTTCTAAATTATACAAAATTATTGCACATATATATACACATATCCCTATATGTTTGTGTTTATTACATTATCTGATAATTTCAGTTTTTGTGAAAAGGGGCATAACTCCACTGAACCTAGAAGAATTACATGTCTTTGCAGGAGATATGAATTTAGGATAAGAAATAACCCAACATTTTGTACTAAATTTTCATTTTTCTAAGTAACTTCAGAATAAATTCTAGTACAATGTTGTTGTTTTTTCCATTCAATTCCTCCTTAACTCCCAACTCTTCTAGGCTGGGTAGCATATTAAATGTAGAAGACCAGACATTAACAGCTCTTTTAAGTTCAACAAATCTTCAGAAATTCAGAAATTATTAATTTCTTAGTCTCATAAAAGTTTCTGTAGAGCTAGTGATTTATAAAACATAGCGCTATGCAGAAGGGTATAATAAAAAATAAATAAAAACATGAGCCCCATGTCTCATCCAAACCTGCTCAGTCAGCTGAGAAGAAGGAACAGTGGCAGAGACTTCAAAGTGTCTCAAGTTTGATTCCATCACAGTAGTCAAATGCACAGATAGCCATAAAGGGAGGTGAAAGCACAACATCATCAAACAAAACAAAACAAAGAAACAAACCAAAAAAAATCTTATTTCCATCTCTGGTTTTGCTATTGACCCAGGTAAATCAAGCTGGCATAAAATTTATCAATACATCCGCAGCTAATGTCACCACTTAGGAGGCAGGCAAGACAACTGGTTCCCAAAAATACCCCTGGGACAAACAGCCAGGTACACAAAATGACAAAGGCATCTATCACAAAGAGTACAAACTTTGTTTTCCCTGTCTAAATATTTTGCCAGAACTATCAGTAGGCCACAGTTCTAGTTGTGTGCATGCTGACACTGTCAGAAATTACTCATCTTTGCACTTACATCCTAATATCTTTGAATTTGTCCTCCTCCTCCTCGAGGCTCCTTAAAGGAATCTATCAGGAACCTATTGTAGTTCTTATGATGTGAACATTAACATTCTGACAGACATACAGCAGGATTTGTCTCCTGATAAAACACAGTGATCATGGTCATTCTCATTCTTGAAACCAACAGCAGCTAAAAAGGAGTCTGGTGTTTGTATGTTTCAGACCTATGGGAGCAGCACTTTGTCCCCATATGTGAGGCACCTTTACTGTTGACCTCTCTTAGGCTGAAGAAGAGCAAACCAATGTAATGCTGCTCCCAGGAGAAAGTCAAATGCCCACTTAGCAATCTAAAGGGCCTGAAGAGAAAAGGAGACACGTTCTCCGCTCTGAGGATGTGCGCTCCAGGGGCTGGAACGCGCAGAAGGCAGAGAGCTAACACAGGCACCGGAGAGAGCAATCCCTGCTGTCCAGGGTGAACAGCATCCTGCCCACCAGACAGGTAGGACTTGATCCCACTTCCTCCTTGATGGATAGACACTGCACAAAGAGGGAGCTTCTTTTACATTAGCTCAAAAATTATTGTAATTGTTACTGTTATAAAAGGAAGTCATATTTATGAGCTCACGCTTGCTGGTGAGAGCCAATCTTTAGGATTTATAAGACTTGTACTCTCACTATAACTATCTAAAAGAAAACATAAATGGCAACGTGTCTGCCTACTACTAACTTGTGGTATCAGACTATGGCATGAAGAAAAGCCTTTCAAATTAAAAGCTGATTTATGAATTTGCTACATGCAACAACTACAATTTTGCATTTATGAGAGCCCTGCTCAGCCAAGAAAGTGCAAAGCTCACCCAATGCTGCCATCTTCAGATCGTTAGTCAGCAATGCACGATCCCCCCACCCCACTCAGAGCCTCAAAGGTGGCTCAGTGCTCTGGAGTTTGCAGGCTTCAGTAAGTTGTGTTCTCAAGCCTAAAAACATCGAGGCATACTGATGAGGAGTTTAAATATTAACTATATAGCAACACTTTTTACAGACCAGAAACATAGATACCCTAGTAAATGCATCCCTTTGTATGGTAAACCACAGTGGTGATACTCTATATTGCACACAGGATAAGTGCACTGGGGTGGGAGTGAATGAACAAAGCAGCGGCTCTTGAGATGAAACACCTTTCGAAGCCTCACCTGATGACAAAGTTGATTATTACACTGCTGTTACATGTAAGCTGGTGAATGCAGGCACAAACAGGGGCATCCACGCTCTCCTGCTCTGATTTGAAACCTTGGACATATGTCTGGCATGCTCCCTATGGCCCCAGATATTTGGTTTCTTTACAAGCAATATCTGGTTATCTGCCTTTACTTTCATTTCCACCTCACCTTTGGGGTGAAGTGTGTATTTCCTATACACAACCTATAGATAGGCTCTTGAAGTAGGAAAGGTGGCTTTCCATACTGTATAAATATCAAAGAGCCTTGCAGTAAAATGCTGCTCTGTTAGTCAAACCAACAAAACGAGATGAAGAATCAAAATGCCAAATGAGGAATTAGAAATATTTTTTATACCAAGTGACATCAATCAAGACTGTGGCAGGAGCACAAGACTGTCTTCTGTATCATTTTATTCTATTTCTCTTATTTATTCAAAAATATATGAAAGATACTTTATAGTCATGCTCATGAAACATTATCGAATGGGTTCAAAAATTATTCAACAGATGCATGGAAGAAAATCCAGTTAAGGGCTATAAAATACTAATATAGCAGATTTCTTCCTTCAGAGCCCTTGAATCAAAAGTAATTGGCAAGTAAGGCAGTACACCAGGAAAATACCACCTCATGGCTTTTGACATACACTGTCCTGCAGATGTCTGCAATCGCCTGTGTCAGAGACCAGATACTGGGGTACTTGTCTGGCCAAGTGTATGTGTGATTTCAGGAGTCAGATCAGTTATCCTGCTATTGATAGGAAAGATATAGAGAACATCAAGCCCTGGCAAACCCTAAACCTGGTTTCCAGAGTAAATTCAATGCCTCTTCTTTACATTCAGATACTGCCCTGCATTATAAACTGGACTACCATAAGAAAAAGAAAAAATCAGTGACAGCTATGACAGCTAACAGAAAAAATCGTTATTTGAGTGTGCTTAGATATTTTCAAAGGCAGGAAAAAAGGTCTCAATTCTCCTCACCTGTCTGGTTTCTAAGCCTTTGAAAATCTCTTCTCACACCACATCATTTTGCATTTGAGAATCTCCCTCCTGGGACCTCCGCAAAGAGCTTGTGCATGGTGTTGAGCCCTAGTGTCACAGAGTCAGTAGTAGAAAATCTGACTTGTTCATAAAAAGGCCTTTCAAGCCATTCCACTTTGCTTAATTTTCTTATGGTATAACTGGAGACCGGTACTTGTGTTCAGCTGGCAATTTTCAGCACAATGTATAGCATGAGATTTTATCTGTCCTCTGAAATACCTTATGAAAATGCTGTCAGGATGAGTCCTGAGAACACCAAGCATGTCAAGAGCTGATTCACTTGTGCTCCCTGCCACAAGGGGGGAAGAATGGCAGCTTGTGTAATTGCATGACTGCAATCCTGGGACATGGCCAGAAGACTCACCACTACATGAACTGCCAATGCCATGGGCCTACAGCCCCAAGATGATGTGCAGTAGCACAAACAATCAGTTTATATGTATATAAAATTAGTTGCCATGAAGACAATACAACTATTAATATATGTAAGTACTTGAAAGACCAGTGCCAAATAAATATCCTTAAGAAAATATATTTACCTTGTTTCTACTGGATTTCACATTTCAAAGGATACTTGAATGGACCGCTCAATTCAATAAGTATTGAATATTGCATGTAATATGTTCATAATATGCAAAGATTAATTCCTCTTTTTTTAGGAGTCCTTTGGTATTTTAGCTCTAAAAATATTCACCTAGAGATTAAATCTCTCATACAGATGTAACTATTTCATAAATAAATAATTATATACCAATGAAAGGATTTTAAAAACCCCATTGTTAGAAATTAATCCTAAGAATTAATGAAATAAAAGTATTTTCATTCCACCTG